CGCCCCTCACGCCCCGCCGCCATCTTGGGCGGCTGAAGAGGACCCCGCCCATGAGGGGCTGCCTGCGCAGTCCACGGAGTGTTTTTTACGCGCATTACAGGGGAAATGTGTGTCCCCAACACCTCGTGAGGCCTGACTAACTGCCCCCACAGCGCTCTGTTGTCCGGCTCGTGTGTCCCCTCTCAGAGAGTAATCAGATACCTTGGGCTGCTGAGGCAGCCGCAGCCCCCGAGAGGCTGGCAGGGTTCACAGCGGGGTGTTACACGAATTACACGGGAAATGTGTGTCCCCAAAGCCTCGTGAGGCGTGATTAACTGCCCACACAACGCTCAGTTGTCAGCCTGTTTCATATGTCCCCTCTCAGAGTAATCAGAAATTGACATTTTGCAAGCCAAATGGGCCTGAGACAGGCGAGATCCATAGCAAGGGCATGTGCTTGTTAATAGACATGATATTCCATTAATAGTGGAGTTGTTAGTACTGCACTACTGTGTCCAGCTGTGGGGTCCCCAACATAGGAAAGACATGGATCTGTTGGAGTAGATCCCAGGGGGTGCCATGAAGGTGATATTCTTCTGCAAAGAAAGGCTGAGTTGCAGTTGCTCAGCTTGGAAAAGAGAAGGCTCCAGGGAGACTTTGTTGCAGTATTCTAGTATATAAAGGAGGGTTATAAGAAAGAGAGAGAGAGAGACTTTTTACCAGGGCTTGTAGTGACAGGACAGGGGGCAATGGTTTTAAACTGAAAGAGGGTAGGTTTAGAAAAACTGTCCCCAGAAAAACTTTGAACGCCCCATCACTGGAAGTGTTCAAAGCCAGTGTGAATGGGGTTTAGAACAATCTGATCTAGTGAAAGATGTCTGTGCCCATGGCAGGAGTTTAGAATAGCTGATCTTGAAAAGTGCTTTCAATCTAAACTATTGTAGTGCTTCTTGCCCCCTCCTCAGCAACGATGCCACTGGCACAGCCCTTGGTCCCACACCCAGCCCTGCACTGCCCCAGGAGGGGTCTGTGGCCATGAGATCCTGAGAAAAACGAAGCCAAATGGCTGTTTTTACTAAAACTCTCCAAGTCAGATGCCACAATACTTTGAGCTATTTGACCAAACTCATCTGCAGACTGTCCTGTGGAGCAGCTGGCGGATGGGCCCCAGCCCTGCGGGGTGCCATGCAGGTCACCTACAAACACCACAAAAACAGGAAAATGCAGAAATTCCATGGCAGCACTGTCAGCACTGGCCTCTGCTATCACCACCACAGGCTGCTGTGTGCTGTCCTACGTTTTCTGCCCCAAAATCCTGAATTTGTCATCTGTGTTCCAATGGGGCTGCTACACAAGTCACTTTTAACGTCACATTTTTAAATGGTTCACCATGGGATATTTTATTTAATCTATATTAATCTGCACAATCTATTTGCCTGTGGTCCCACCCTTGATTATACAGGTCCCACTCCACATTGTACAGTGTGTACCCAAGAAGAAACGTTTGGCTCTCATTTACATGGGGCCACTTTATGATGCCCCCCGCAGTGGCTCTCTCTGTTACCACAGCTCTCCGTGGATGCTGCCTCACCCAGCCTGCTCTGGAGATGATATCCTTTATCCTGCCCATTTTACTGCTGTCTCAGTTGATAAGGAGAGTCTGGGGCATCCTGTTAAGTGTTTTCACATGTACAGTGAGTGTTTGTTTACCTACCTGCAAGTGTGTGACAAATTGCACATGCTCTAGGGCATTTTTTCTCCTGATAAAATACATCGTGAGAGAACGACCAACTGCTCTGACCCAAACTGCAGCAAGCTGCGGCTAAGCACTACTGATAATTTTTTTTCTCGAGTATCAGTTGATAAATTTGGTTGATTTTCCACAATTAACAGAATCATTTTGTAGTAATTGAGAGATCTTCTGGGCTAAATCAAGTCCTTTTACTAAAGTACAGCTGTAGATGATACTTATTTTTCAGACACAAAACAAATATTCCAAGACAGCCATTATCTGAGATTCAGTAAAAAACATTGGAAATCCATCCATCATTCATTGCCTGCAGGCATCTTTCCTTTGTCTGGATCAACGTTTATTTTCTAATGTGTGTTTCTTGATAATACTAATGTGATTATCCTCCTTTTCTATGCAACAACAGCAATTTGATTGAAAGCACATTTGAAAATAAAATACTGCGGCCTTTCACATTTAAAGGTATTTCCTTTCCAGTGTTGCCCAGCTGGATCACACACCCCCCTTTTCTTTCCATTAGGCTCAGGATGCTATGAAGCTTTGTTTCTCCTAACTGTGTCTTTATATATAAGAAGTGAAGAGGGATTAAAAAACTTTTAGAACGTTTTAAACTGAGTGAGTTGTGTCTGTTCTCAGTTATGTTCTGGAGAAGTGTCTGACACACGTCCTTAAGTCCCAGCCTCGAGAATATGCATTTCAGCCAGAGCTGGGCTAATCCCATCTTCTTTCCAGAAACATCCCACCTTGTTTCCAGCCAGCCTGCTGGAAGGCAGGACGTGGCGTTTACACCCACATGAGCCATGGGTTCAGGTCACACAATTAGAAATAACAGGTCACGAGCAAAGCAGTGTAAACAGCCCTGTTCCAACCTGAGCCAGCGTCTGCTTCGGCTGCTGGGCTGACTTTGCTGGGATCTCACCATGTCCTGACTCTTGAGTTGAGGGTTCACAGCGGCTTCTGGGTGCAGCATCGAGCAGGAGGACATGAGAGGCTGGGAGTCGGTGACTCTCCCCTCCACAGGGCACTGCCGTGCTCAGCAGGCCCTCTGAGCTCCTCCAGTGTCTCTGTGGGGCAGGAGCTGGGTCACGGAGCCTCTGCAGTGACCTTGCCACAGGCACCCACCCTGCTCCGGGCACTGCTTTATTCCTGCTGTTCCCTGTCAGCTCCCTCTGCCGTGCCTGTGTCCAAATTACCCAGGGAATTACCCTGGGACTGGGGATCAAAGACAAGCAGTGACAGTGCAGGAACACTGAGCTAGTGGGAACTACTGTAACTTCCCCACCGGGAAGAAGGGAAGCACAAAGTAACTCCAGCTGTTCCCTCCTCCTGGGTCTGCAGCAGTGCTCATGCAGTGATATCCCACTCACGACCTGGGGGGCCCTGGTGCTTTCCACAGTCACAGAGCTGCTTCCTGCTCCTGAACTGAATACAAGGAGGCAAAAAAACGAGACACTACCCAAGTCTCAGGTCTACAGCTATATCTACAGCCTGTAAAATTTAAGGACTGATGATCCACAGCCAGGATTTATTGCCCCTTTGCTGGGGAGGAGATCCTTCCTTTTCAGCACAGCTACTTAGGCTGTGCCTCTGGGTAAAATTTGTCAGTATTGCTTGAGAATTTAGTGAAACACTTGAGCACACTCAGCTACCTTAAATTAAATCTCATGCTTACACATTCTGCTGGTGTTCTGCCATGAAATTCCTCAGCTCCCATAGATTTCAGTGAAAGATAAGGACATTGAACACCTCGGAAAATTCATCCTACCTCAAAGGCTTGGTACCTGCGTACATAGTACTTGGGTTAACTTTGTCGTTATCAGCTGTTTGACTCTGGAGGTGGAGGGTAGTGTTTTTCAGGGATGAAAAACAAGTTGAAGTGAGGCAGAAAAATCTGTGATAAATTAGTGTGGAGAATGTTAATGGGGCCAAATGTCCTGAGTTTATTGAATTAGGGAAGTCAAACTAATTTTAAAATTAAGCCTAGAGAGTGGGAGACCAGATATCGTTGGCACAACAGGAAAGTCTTAATGGCTGTCATCTCAGCACATTAGGAAAACACTGTCAAAGCTCTTGCTGACAAGATGCTTTCTCAGGGATTATTAATTATATTGCATTATTAGCGAGGCATGGTATGAGAACATATTTTGCACGTTAACTAAAATGCAACAACCATTTAGCTAATAAGTCTTCTCAATTTTCTTAATGATTAGCGACTTAGTAAAACTGTAACAGTGAGAGGTAAAAATAATAGTTCAACAAGCTGTATCTCAAGAACAAGTTTTAACTGGAACTTGCATGTAGCAAGGACAGATAAAGTGTACAGTTCTAATTACTGGCCTGATGGGACAAGACATAAGTAAACATATCGACTCAAATGACCCCTCCCTGCGTTGCCATACGGTAAAAGTGCTCTTGTGATAGTTCAGCCCAGCTTGATCCTTCCACCGCAGCCATAGGGAGGACAGAGGGTCAGCAGTGCCAAGATTTGCTCATCCTGTCCTAGGCTGGAAAGAGAAGACTCCCTTCCCTTCCACACAGCAGCTGCTGCGAGGAAGCACAACCTGAAACTCTATTTTCCTTAAGCGTTTCTGAACCCTCAGGCAGATCTTCCGGGAAGTTCAGGGATATAGCTATGGGTAATGTTAATGTTGCAGGGCTTTGTTAAACTAATTTATGTGCTGCAGTACAGTAATTGAATCAGGCTTTCTATTCTCATTCGCCAGTGACATGAGAAAACAAGGACTGGCTGCTCAGTGTTGCTCAATAAATGGCCCTTCACTGCTGAGTTGCTGGCAGTCACTGGTGCCCTGCAGGCATTAGGACAAAGATTAGCAGAAATTTAGCAAAATAGTTTTGGACCACCTGTATGATGACTGGGAACCCAGCCTGGCTGGGTCCTCCCTCAGAGCCCTCTCCCCAAATGCTCCTCCTGACAGTCGTGCCTAGAGAGGCCCCAGCACCAAGTTTTAAGCTGCACCAGCACCATGAAGCAGAGGTGCTTCACGGCAGGATGAAGTGGGAGTGGGGACAGCTGGGGCCAGACACCAGCACACCTCCAGTGAGGGTTGATCCCAACACAGAGCCAGCTCACACCGGCTCCAGGTCTGCCTCCAACCCCAGTCTCACCTCTGTACCATCCGTTTAAGGGGGTTTGGCTGAGGGCTTGCACAGCATTTACCACCCATGGAGCAGATGTGTAATAGGTCCTGTCTGGCACTGAACACATGTCTGAGATGTACAGAGGGAAAAAAACAACAGCACAGGCCAACACACACCATAGATGGTGTTCACTGTCACTTTTATCTAACAGACATAGATAACATTACTGAAAGCAAGAACCCATCTCTTTTTCCCCCCCTTCTTTTACATTCAGACAATCAGTTATAATATTTAACTACCTGTAGTAAACACTGTGGAGAGTTTCTGAGCCTGCTGTGGCAGCTGGTCTCACCTGGGAGGACCTGTTTGCAGCACACAGACAGAGGGTTCCACTCAGATCTGTGCCCCAGCTCTGCTGCTCTCTTCTCCACCCTAGCCTGGGCCCTGGTTCCCAGATCCCTGCATGCCCCATGTCAGACCTGGAATCCTCACTGCTGTAGCACATGACAGCACTGACCCAGTTCTCCTCTAGTTAAATCCCAGCAGTCACTCCGGGAAAGCCTTTGGTGCAATCTTACTGCTTCAGTGCACACACTGGGGCCAGGCACTTCTCCCAAAGGACCTCATGGCTGCACTTCCAGTCACTTGGAAGGGACCAGAATTTGCTTTAGAGTTGTAGTACCAAGAAAGTAAAGTCCACAAAGGAAAAACGTTCAGGCACATGGAAAGGAGCATGAACATTCCCTAAAACCAAACCCACAGCAGCAGCATGATCCTCCTTGGCCCATCTGTTCTGTGCTTTTCGTTATGCTTGATCCTCTGTTACATTTTGGCCACTGCTTCACCATCAGCGTGGTGAGCTCACAGCAACCCAGCAATGCTGGTGTTTCATCTCTAAATAAATAATGGGTTTCTATCCTGAGAAAGTTGCTAGAAAGTAACCTGGTATCACAACAAAGAACATGCAAATCTTAAAAGTCAAGCAAACAGAGAGCAGGCTTTTACAGTGGTTCCAAGATATCCCCCCAAAAAAGGAAGAAAAATCCATGGAGTTTGATTCTGTCACATAAAAATGTCTCACAAAGAAGCAAAAGGAGCACAAACAAGGCTATGGAAACAGCATGACCTCCTGCTTGCACTTCTTGGCTGCAGCACATCCAGCCAGCAAAATCCTAAGTGGTGCAAAGTGGGGGTCTGATCAGTGGGCACCTTCCAGTTAACCCTCCAGCACCCATTCCCTCTTTGGGTCATCATTAATTGTTACAGTATGGGCAGCCCAAGCCCTTGACGCAGGCTGGAGCCTGTGGGTCTGAGCACTGTACAAAAGGAAGGGAAGGCAGGCACAGAGGATGGGGAAGGAGGTGACCTGGCAGTAGTCACACCATGGGAGGGATGGCAGCAGGACTTGGGTCTCCTCACCCTGGGGTCAGGAGCACCCAGGCCCCTTGTGTGGTCAGTATTGTGCTTGCCTTGTGCTGCAGCAGGGAGAAGGGAGGGAGGAGAGGCTTCCTAGGAGGAAAGAGGGTGCTAAATAGTTTGGCTGAAACATAAGGAAAAAAATGCCCATCAGCCCAGCCACAGTTTCTAAGATTCTCCTAAAAAATGTTGTGATTGGAAATCCTTATGAGATCGGACAGCATTTCCATAATGCACAGACAGCAAAGCAAGTGAGGTTCAGGTGGGATCCACCTTTTTCCTCTGCATAGGCACAAGTAAGGGGGAGTTTGCCTGACCTGTTTTCCTTGGCACCCCATGCGATCAGTGCTGTGTGCTGGGGGCACAACTGCAGTAGCAGTTGGCTTCTCAAAGCACCAAGTCACTCATGAGAAGGAAGGAGCAAGCATGGGACAAAAAGGTGAAAACATGAGGCTGCAGCATCAGCCAACCCCTCTTTCCCTCATTCCAGCTGCGCCATGGCCCTGCTTGGCCATGTGATAACATCACTGTCCTGCTGGGGTCTTACAGAGGGACATGGAGACACACAGGTAACATACTCCTCCTGTCCTTTCCCTGGCTCTTCCTGCAGTACAGTTGTACCAAGTGTCTCAGACCAAAATGCCAGGTTAGCACCTGGGAGGTGTGAACCGCGGCAGCCGGAAGGAATGCAGTGGATGGGTCCTCCTGGTCTGCCAGCTGTGAGGTTTTTGTGAAATGAGACTTTTGCCCACGGTGCCTGAAGGAGGTCCATGCCCAGTCCCTCCTTTCTGGGTGGGTGGGATGGCTATGCCTCCTCACTGGCTCGCAGGTCCTGCAGCTCAGTCATGGCTTTGGCCGAGAGCTTCTTGCGGCGGAACACAGCTGCGATCTCCTCAAAGGACTTCCCCTTCGTCTCCGGGACTTTGAAGTGGGCAAACAGAAAGAAGAGTAGGAGCAGGGCCGTGAAGATCGCAAACACGTACGGTCCACACAGATCCTGCAGTCGGGCAAGTGGGAAGAGAGGAAGCCACCATGAGCACTGTGGGGATGGCTTCCCCTTCCTACCCTGGGGGACTGAGGTGCCCAGCAGGGCTTGGGGATGGAGATCTGGGAGGCACATCCCCATCCCACTGGGTTGCTCTGGGAGCCAGCAGCGGGGTCATGCCAGGCATTTATTTGTATGGTTTGAGGGTTTTCTTACCGCTATGTACTGGAAGCACATTCCCACGATGAAGTTGCAGGCCCAGTTGCAGAAGCCGGCGACAGCGATGGCGGCAGGACGTGGGCCTTGGCTGAACAGCTCGGCCACAATAAACCAGGGGATGGGCCCAGGCCCGACTTCAAAGAAGATGACGAAGAGGAAGATCGCAACCATGCTGACATAGCTCATCCAGGCAAACTCGCTCTGCAAAAGGTTGGTGTTATAGTCCCAACACAACTCTCATTAATTATCACCAATTACTTTAATTAAGCTTCTTTTTCAGAAATTTCTTTCCATTCAGACAAGTGGGGACTGGACATGAATAATTAAGGCTCTCAACTCTTGTGCCAGGTGCTGGCTGGGCGTGTGTTGCCAGTGTTGCTGCTTGCAGGAGTTCACAGCCATCAGCTCAACTGTTCCTTTGAGCCCTCTCCTTGCCTGCAGCACGGCCAGGACAACAGAGAATGGTTCTGTCATTAATAACCAGGGTGTTCAGTAGAGGAGGTCACCCCTTATTTGGTTTTATATCCCAACAGGGGCTTGCTCCAGTGGTTTGGACTGACTTTGATGGCGTCTTCTCTTGTTTGCAAACAAGGGATTAAAAATGGAGAGAAATCCTTACCAGGAGCACAAGTCCAACTGTCATGGCCACGGCGCTTATTAACATGCCCATCAATCCAGCCAGGAACAGGGACCGCCTGCCCGCCTTCTCCACCAGAAAGACCTGTAGAAACACATGCAGCAGCTCAGTCTCCAGCACTGCTGCTCTCAGGATCAGGTCCATTAGCAATAACCAACCTGTTACCGCTGCCACACTGCCCACCTGCTCTTTTAGCTCTTGTGATAGGGATTTATGTGCTGGTTTCCAAGTGTCAGAAACTCTGCCAGTGGCTCTTAGGGAGCCAGGCTGAGCAGTCACCTTGCCAAGGGCAAGGCAAAGCCACATACACTCAGAACTCATGAGTTTCCAAGCTCTCAGGACTTCTCACTTCTCCTACACATGTATTGCTGACTGTGAACTTTTCCTCTCTCTCTTTTTCTGTTTTTTTCCCAGGAAGAAAAAACTCACTAGCTCTGCATTAGTTTGAAATTGGCCTTCAAAATGTAGCATGATTCAGGTCACACCATTGCACCTTGCCTGTCCCAGAGCAGGGATAGTTGTGTAGCAGCAGGATTTTTCCTCCAATTGCTCTCAGACTCCTTTTGTTTCCCTGGTATCCACAAGTCTTAGTTTTCTCCTTCTCAGCTCCTCTTGGTGGACTCAGTCATCTCACACAGCTTTTGTAAGTCTGTACCAGACACCTCACCCAGTGGGGAGGTGTAGGTACCTCCAGAGGACAGTGCAGATGGCCTGGCCTAACTGTGCATGAGCCTCTGAGGCTGCCCAGTCCTTCCCCTCTGCTCTGAAGGACACTTCTGGCTGGCAGCTCAACCTTTCCTGCCATTACAGCCATGATTTATGCTTCTAGGAGACCGTCTCTTTTCCTGGAGGTGGTTCATCCTGCTGACTCGGGAAGTTGCAGAGAACGAGCCTCTGCGTTCCCTTCTCCCCCTGCCAAGGTCCACCCGCTGTCAGCACTTCTGCCTTTTGATCGGGGTCTGTCATTTATTGACAAAGGCAGGTAATTTTTTAAGTTCTCACGGCCAAAAGAAGCAAAGAGCAAATGCCCCAGGCTGCGAGTACCAGAGCCTCAGAGTGGGGATGGAACTGCAGGAGACCTTCCGTGCTGAAGAAAGGCTTCTTCCAGCTGCACACCTCCTAATTTCATTTCACAATAAAGATCACATTTTCTCCTCACTGTGGGGCCTGTGATAGACTTCCTCTAAAGAAAGTTCACCCCAAGACCTCCTATCTCATACATGCTGGAGTAAGAATGGTTTGTGTTGGGAGGGACCTTAAAGACCATCTTGTTCCAACACCCCTGCCATGGGCAGGGACACCTTCCACTATCCCAGGTTGCTCCAAGCCTTGTCCAACCTGGCCTTGAACGCTTCAGGGATGAGGCATCCACAGCTTTTCTGGGCAACCTGTTCCAGTGCCTCACCACCCTCACTGTCTATTTCTTTCTAATATCTAATCTAAACCTGCCCTCTGCCAGTTTAAAGTGATTCCCCCTTGTCTTAAATCTCTTGGAGCTGTATATTTCTCCCTTGCAGCCAGTCCTGCTTTGTTGGAGGTAAAAGTCCTTTATTCCCTAAGTCTCTTGAGGGGTGTCAGGGAAATGGGCTTGGCATTTCCTGATCTTATATTAACGGCCACATTAAAAAACTAATTGCCTGCTGATAGGAATTGTGTTAATCCTCTCAGGAGAGAGACAAACGAAAGGAAAGTCTGTGGAAACAAACCCATCCTTTTATTGCTGCAGAGCACTGCCTAGATAGGATGAGGATAGGTGCTGGATTACTGGATTACTGTGGAATAGCCTTTGGATATCACCCATGCAGGTGCTATGTACATACATAGAACAGTTTGAAAGATAACAGGTAAAGGAGACTGTGAGCTGCTTGCTCCCCCATCACAGGCCCCAGCCCCTTTTGTTTTGGGGAAAATGCTGAGTTACAGAGCTTCCCTGAACACAGTGATGTATTTTCCACTCATAAGGCATTTTAGCAGTGCTGATGTCAGGCTCTGTGTCAAGGCTTAAATTTTCAAATGAAACTTGCCCAGGGAATGATTTTTCCCTGTAAGGTGTTCAAGGTCAGCCCTGAAAACTGCAAATCCCAGCCCCAGCTCCAGGACAAAATCATGTTTCAAAACCACATTGTAGCTTACATGTCTTTGTAGTCTGGGTGGCAGAAGTATTTACTTACAGAGATAACAGTGAAAACTGTGTTCACCACTCCAACACCGATGGTTGCGTAAACTGGTTGGTCAACTCCAGCTCTCTCGAAAATGTTTGTGGAATAGTAAAAGATCTATCAAAATACATCAAGATGAAGGATTAGGCAACAGGGCTGGTGGAACTTTTTGTTCTCTTGAGAGAAGAGTTGCACTTGCTTGGCTGAGATGTGAAGTAATTTAATTATGATTAGTTTTTCAACTTTTAATAGCTTGTTATAGTAATTAAAGCTGAAAATTTCAAAGGAGCCGGAGGGAGTTAAAAATCCTGTTGAAATTCCCCTCTTGAGCTACTGCATTTGCACATTAAAACTGTTTTCTTCCATGTAGTCCATGTTTAATCTTGAAATCCAGCACTGAGCAATGAAGAAAAATAGCTTAATATGACTGAGTTGTACATGAATTTTAAAATATTCTCGCTGCATTGAAACGACTCCCATTTCTTCCTTCTCTCCAAGAATAAGGTGATTCTTTTCTGGTAAAAGTTAAGGGCAGTAGGTAAATGGGTGCTGACCCTCAGCTGGGCTCTGTGACATCCTCATCCCAGTTCATCCCCACAAGGCTGGGCACCCCTGCATGCCACTCTGCCTTGGGATGCAGAAATGCTCCCAGAGTTTTGAAAGCTGGTGGAACAGAGGCCTCAAGTTTCACCAGACTTTCAAAAATATGATTTTTAGCAGATTTTGAAAAGGAGGCTCTACGCTTCTGGGTGCAAAATGGTGATTTCTGGTATCCCCAAGAGGTGATGCAAAAAACTGTTTAGTTACAAATAGCTAGAAAATAGTGATTTCTGTGGTTCCTGGGGTGAGCACATAGTCATTAAAGAGAGAAAACTGCTGATGAACTGGGTTAGGTGGAGGGTCATGGGAGAGCTCAGCATGGACCCGCTGTGCCAGCCAGGTTTGTGCTGAACTCCCTCACACCCTTCTTCCCTCCTGCCCTCCCACAGCCAGTGTGGCAGTGAGATCCACCATCAGCACTGGTGGTGGTGGCTGAGGAGCCCACTGCAGCCATGGGAAAGCCACTTTTCCCCCCTGCACGGCTCGGATGGAGCCAGAGCTGCCTTTTCATGCTCAGCGTGGATTTCTTTAAAGACAAACATTTTGGGGAGACTCACCGCATTGATTCCCGAGAACTGCTGGGATATTTGCACCATCAGTGCCACGATGACAGCCTGCCTGTACTTGGAAGAGGTGAAAAGCTGTCTTATGGAGACTTTCTTTTCACTAGCAGCTTCTTGCTTTTCTTTTTCCATCTCTGCAATCTCTTTCATTGGGTCACAGTTTCCTCTAAGCCTTTTCAAATCTTATGAAAAAAAAAGAAAGATTGACATTTTATCTTCAGATAAGGCACAGAATAAGGACAAGAATCTCTTAGCTAGAACTCAGGGTAGGCCAACCACATGGACAGCCATGTCCTCTTGCTCTGAGGATTCCTGTGGCACATCAAGGATCCAAAGTGTGTGTGCTTGGCCAGGGGCAGCAGCACATCAGTCCTGCAACAGCCCTGAGACACTATGCTCAAGCTTCATCTCTCAGCAATCCTGCTTAGTCCCATGCAAACAGTTTTTGGCCCAGATCTGATTTGTACCTCAGCAGCTCAGAGGGTGGAATGGAGCAACCACACAGTTATATGTGAATCCTCAGCCTTTTCCTTCTGTGTTTAATACTATATACAGTATAAAAACAAATTCTAGACAAGCCCAGAATGTGTCTTACTTCTTTTAGCTTCCTCCACCTTCCCCAGTTTGATGTAAAGATATCGGGGGCTCTCGGGGCACAGCAGGAGCAGGAAGAACTGCAGCAGGGCAGCCAGGCCAGACAGACCGAGGAGCAGGGGCCACATCTCATCGTTGCCCAGGAGAAAGTCTAGTCCAAGAACCTGGAATAATTGAGGCATGTTTGAATGGATTGTTTTGCAGCCTAAGAAAAGAAAGTGATTTATCACTTTGGCATTTTGAAGTGACAACCTGGAAGTAAACTAGAAGCAAATACCAATTCTTTTTCTGGATGTATTTGTTCTTGGTACATTTAAGTGCCAACCTGTTGCATAGCTGGAACTCCTGCCATGGTAGGGAAAAGCTGACTGGGACTTTGGGCTTCCTGCTTCTCTGATGAAGCCATTTTTGAGAACCTGATTATTAGGGGTCTTGTGCTCAGGATCCAGCCTGATGCTGATTAGACGCTGAAAATATATCCTCAGGGAGAGGAGAAATTGCAGAAAAGCATTTTTTATTTCTTGAGATGTCATCTTTGTTAAGACACCTCCGACTCAAGGCAGGAGTTTAACCCCATTAGAGCAGATTGCTTTGCGCACTCCTTCAGTTTTGGGGTGGAATGGTGTGTGACACTCCAGCATATCACTGGGGTCTCCCTAATCTCCAAACCACCCTCTCTGAACACGTGAGCTTTCCTTCTTACCTGGCTGATGAGGATCCCTGTGACAATGGCAAGCTGGTGCAGCGTCCCCAGCGCTCCCCGAAGGGCCGTGGGAGAGACCTCGCTGACGTACATGGGCACAAGTCCAGAGGAGAGCCCTGCATGGAGCACACTCAGGTGTCACCTCCTCTAGACCACAGCTCAGAAACCAGCAGAAACCACTCCCCAAATGAGAAAGGAGGATGGAGCCTGTGTGCTGCATCCCACACCCCACCAAACCCCTCGTGCTGGCTGGGAACCACCTGCACTTTGGAAAGGTGCTGGGATATCCCTGCACAGGATATCCCAGAGCCCCAAACTGTGAAGCCTTTATACTTAAACACACACATAAGAGCACAGAGCAGAGATTGTCCACTGGGAGGAGGTATCACAGGGCAAAGAGCTTGCTTAAAACTTGCCTTGAAACCTCAAAGCAGAATATTGTATTTGCATACCAGTAACAATGGTAACAAGCCATCATTTCTAAGGTAATTCTAATGTAATTCCATATTATTTGCTGACTGTTGTATCCTCTCCCTGTACGGTGCTCCTGTGCTCTCTGCTAGACAGCACTGCTGTCTAGGGAACCTGTTAACCAGCCTGGCTAATGATGTGCTGTTACAGCAGCCACCAGCAAGATCCAGCCTTGAGATAGAGAGGGGCTCGCTCCTTTCTAGCATATGTAAAACAAACCAGTTTCGTGACAGAGCCAACCCAGATACTTCTGGGAAAGATCCTGGATCGAGAAGGACAGACAGAGGAAGAAGAAGAAAACTCCCACCTGTGAAACTCCTTCTGATTAAAAAAAGATTAAAAAACATAGGAAACTCTGAACTGCATCCCTGGAGCACCTGGCACCCTGCCTGGCCCAGGCTGGACTCACCGCAGTACAGCCCCGTGACTGCTCTCCCGGCGATGACGAGGATGTGAGACGGCCCAAATTTCGCCAGCCCCATGAGGAGGTTCCCAGCAATGGAGAGGACGTTCACCACCAGCATGGCTTTCACCCTGCAAGGCAGCAGCACCACAGCTCCTTCCAGCACCTCGCTCAGCCAAAGCAGCCGTTGCGACGTGCAAGTGGAGCTATTAAGTGACATAATCAGCACTACAGAGGGAAAAATAATGATTGTAGGCACTGCAAAATATAGCGCCCGGGTGCAATCAGAGTAGTTAAAAATTATGTTATAAATTACATTTTACATCCTGTGCAAACACTGTTCAGATGCCCTTCTCTCCCATTTGCCATGAAAAGAAAAGGGAGAATTCAGAAGTTAATCAAGGCTGCTCATCAGCTGCTGTCTGAAGTGCTAAAGTTGCAATAAAACACCTGATTTATAATTGAGGATTTTAATAAGCCCGACCTCTATGATGGTTGGAACAGTATTTTGGAAGTTGGAAGGTGTTTTTTTCCCCTTTTTTTCCTAAATTGGGGGAAATACTGGAAATTGACAAAGGCAGGTAATTTTTAAGTTCTCTTTCTACAGAGAGGGAACAGAAAGTCTCGGGCTGTGGCACAGAGTCACAGCACACATGGAGTTCTCACCTGCCGAGCCGGTCGCCGATCCAGCCCACGGTGAAGGAGGAGACCATGCCACCGACGGCAAACACGGAGACAGAGAGGGACCAGTACATGGTGAGGATGTGTGGGGAGGTGGCCAGGTCCTCGCTGGTGTCAGCCAGGGGTGCGAGCGTGCCCTTGGTGCCAGCCTGGGGGTCTGTGCCATCCTCCCCGGAGGTGTTGGTGGCGTGTCCATCTAGGGGGATGATGCCCAGCACGTGCCTGTAGTGTGCCTCTATCACCTGGGACAGGCAAAGAGGGAAAACCCCATCAGCTCAAATCTATAACCACCCCGAGAGCTGTTTTGGTTTTTTTTTTTTTTGCCCCAGGAAAATCTTTTAATCGGAGGGTCTGCAGGGGTGAAATCTTGGGGTCCCCCCTGGCTCCCCAACACCCAGGGACCAGCGAGGAGGGGCCACGGACAGGCACAGAGCATCCCCTCCTCCCTGGGCTGAGGTGAGCATGGTGTCAGCACCAGCAGAGAGCTGCAGTCCCTCGGCCTGGGCATAGGGACTGTGTTGCAGTGGGGATGGCTCCACAACTGCAGAGCTCTGCTCCTTTCCCTGGGGAGGTGGCAGAGTGGGGGTTCTGGCCGTGTTCTCACCCCGCTGCCTTTGTGCTGTGGGAGAAAGCACCTGGGAAAGGGACAGGGAAGGGACACACGGGCCCTGAAGTCCTTGCCCCTTGGCTGTGCATGGCCTGGGGGGCTCAGCTTACCTTCTGGGGGGCATTAATGACACCCAGGCTGTAGCCGAACTGGAAGAAGCCCAACACTGCAGTGAAGACAGAGAGGACCAGCGTTCCCGTGAGGTGCTGGGGGAGGAAGCAGAGAACAGCCTCACCCTGTTGTCCTAACCCTGCCCAAACATGGGGGGCTGCACCCCATCCCTGTCCCAGGGGACTCTGGTGCCCAGCTGGCCAGGACTGTGGCATCCAGGGATGCTGCTGCAGAAGCACAGGTGGTTTGGCTTCAAAGAAGAAGGAAAGCCCCTGGAGACAGGCAAGATCAAGGCCCCCAGGGCAGAGTGCTGTTGCCCCACAATGAGCAGTCCTGGCCCTGGAGCTCACAGGAGCCAGAGCTCTGCCTGGTACAGCAGCACAGGCAGCAGCAGCGTGCCCTGTCCCATCCCCATTCTCATCCCCATCCCTGGAGCACAACACCTGGGAAAAAAGTCACCAAAACTGTGGTTTTCAGCAGTGCTGTTTCAAGCATTATTTCCTTCCATCACAGTTAAAGTTATCCAATGAGCCAACAGAGCTCTTAAAAATAAAAAACAACCCCCTGGCCCCTTTGCCCCTGTGCTCAGTATCAGTACACAGACATCAGAGAGCAATTAATTAAGGGAGGGGATTTTTTTTTTTGGTTGGTCTTGGCATGGAATTGCTCAGTGCTGGGCTCCTGCAGAAATCCCAGTGCAAAAATACCAGTGAGCCATGGTTACCTTCTCTGTCTGCATTTTGCTTTTCTCTTCCATCCTGCAGCTCCTCCACTGTCCTCCCAGGAATGGTCCCTGTCCTGGGCTGTGGAGCGAGGTGAGGGCTTGGGCAGGGAAGGAGGGACAGCCGGGTTGGGAGGGAGGCAGGAAAACTGGCTGATGCTCCGAGAGATGGGTCTATATGAGCTCTGGAGTTAATGAGAAACCCAAGCCTTCCATGTGTTACTTGGCCACTGCTCGGCTCAGGGCAGCCACCACCAATCCCTGTGGCTGGGGACATGCACGAAACAACAGGAGACCCACAAAGGCATAGAGTGGACATGGGAAATTCAAATGATCCTGCTGCAGGGCTGGTTTGGGGCTATCCCGTGGTTTAACAGCCGGGAATGTGACACACCAGGGACTTGGGAACACGCTACAGCCTGTTTTGAGATGCTCAACACTTTTCTCAGCTTCTGTGCTGGTGTATGTGCCACATCACAAACCTCTTTCTGAGTTAGGGAGAAGAAACCTCTCCAGCATATGTTAGCAAAGCAGATAGAAAATGACTAAGTGTTTTATTTAGATAGCACTTAGCACCTGCTTTAAAATATATTTATTTGTGTGCATCACATACACAGCCAAACATATATAAACACAGATGTATAGAGGCCTCTCTGTGTATCCATACATAGACACCTGCATGCACAGAGCCCCTCAGCACCCAGCTGTAGTGCCAGTACACACCTGTACGTGCAGCCTGAGCGGTCAGAGGAGACATCTGAATGTGCATGTGAAGATATAACATAGCAAAATTACCCAGAATATTAAAATAACAGAGGTTTTCATTAAAAACCCCACCACAGCATGAACACTGAGCCTTTCAGCACCACCAGCTGATTGCTGTGCTGTCAGATATCGCTGGTTCTGTGAACTATGGCCGATGCTGCAAATACTCCTGCTGCTGCCAAATATCTTTGGCTTGGTTTTCATGAACTTTGCACATCTGCACAAGCTGGTCTGAGCTGGTCTCGCTCTGGCTCAGGCTGTGCTGTCCTTGACATGGTCAGTGAGAGGAGCTGCAGGGCTGGGCAGACGGTGGCATCCGTAGGGACGTGCCAAAGTCTGAGTCAGACTGGAGGTGATTAATGCTGATTAAAACCATTACCTCCCAGACCAGCCCCTCATGGGTCCAGCAGCCAAGTTACAGCGACTCATTGGATGATGCTCTCAGCCATCCAGGCTTCACACAGGCACAAAATGTACTCTCTGCAGAGGAAGAGCAAGAGATAAAAAAACAAAGATGAGTGTAAGACCACTAATCTTTGCACTGGGCTCCTCCAGTAAAGTAAAACTTTAACTGGAGGAGAAAAGTTCATTGCATTAAGCAGGTGTTGATTCCAGTCTCAGCACCTGCATTCCCCTCTTGGGCTGGCGTAGCTGTGAGGGGAAGGGCCTGAGGCTGAGCTTTTTAGTTTTCCCCAATATTTGTCCTTCCAGCTGAGATCTTTGCCCATGGTGTTTGTTTGCTCGCTGTGTGTGGATACCCAGGCATTTACAAGCACCATTTCTTTGCACTGCAGTTAAATGCCTCCACAATGGGGCTGTCAGGATTTGACAATTAACAGGCTTTTTAACAAGCTTGAATCAGAAAACAAAAGAGAGCCCTGACCCAAGATCCCAAACGGAAACCCTTGGGCACTGTGAAATCCCTGGCCAGGACTGATGTTCCCCTCCAGGATCCCCATGTACCCGTTTGGGATCCCCATCCCATCACAGGTGCCTGGCCAAGCGAGGGTGTTACTTCCCCCTCTACTTTTCCCAGCCTACCGGAGTTAGAGGGGTGAAAGGGCATCCACATACTGAAATGAGAGAGCAGGGTGGCCTTTCCATGTCTTCCCTGCTGCTGCTTCCACAGCTGAATCCTCCTGTAATTCCACTTCTTGGGGGGAGGGTGTGGAGCAGCTGGGGCAGCAGGGGGATGGTGTGGGTGAGCATCAGTCACCTCCCCAGCAGTGGCCTGGCAACTTCCATGGAAACTTCAGATGCCAAAGGCTGGAAGCCCCAGAGCCACATGTATCCCTCGACCAGATCTGCTGGCAAAAGGGATGAAGTTATCCCAGGATTCTCCCATCCCCTCTTACAGCCCCCCCCAGGATGGATGCTCTGAGCCAGTGCCACCTCTCCCTGTGAGCTGATGCCAGCTGAGCTGTGCCACACTCTTCCACAGCCTGGCTCTGGGCAATTCAAGCACATATTTTGCTCTCAGTGGCACCAGGACTCCAGACCCTGTGTTTTTCTGAACAGGGGGCTGATGTGGATGTGCTGATTAGCTCGAGGCTCATCCTGAGGCTCACAGGTGGAAAAGGGCCGTGTGTAAATCTGCCTCCCACAGTGGTCACTTCCCAAAGGGGCTGACTGATAGCTTAGAAAACAGAAGAACAACATTCCTACAGGACAGAGCACTGGGCCAGGCTCCACCAGGATGAATGACCAGCCCAGCAAATCTCTTGCACGTCTGACAGTCGGTTGTGACTACACAAGGTCACAAGGTCACCTGTGACCACACAGGTTGAGCCCTGAGGGTGCAGAGAGCGTCACAGCACAGCTCAGAGCAACACCAGCCCCTTCCATGGCTGGTGAGCCTGGCCAGGCAGTGGTTCAGTGATGGGCAAACAACAGTGCCTGCATTATTGCTGATGCTTTACTTAAATAATAAAGTGTAAGAACTGGGTATGTTGGTTAGGCAGAATTGCCAGCTTATTGCCTACTCTGTGTTGTGTCCAGTGTAACTGGTGTTGCTGATAATCTAATGCTCTGTGATAAAAGCAATGGGCTAAAGTTTATGGTTGGGCTTTGCTTTTGAGCAGCTGAACATGCTTGTCACCTCAGTGGAAGGAATTTAAAGATTGCAGGACAGTGAGGCTTTCTCTGTGGCCGGGGTAATTTGCACACCTATTTTACTGCCTCTGGGTCACTCAGAGATAGCTTTGATGTTAAAAAAAAGTAAAACTACGCCATTAACTGAAACAAAACCAGAAAGAAGAAAAGGAAGATCGAGTCCATAAATCTCTGGCTCTCCAGGTAAGAGCAGACTGATGCAGCACATCAGCTGGCATAGAAAGATGATGATATACATCCGTTTTTCCTCTCTTTAAGCATAGCATCCAGGGCAGGCACTGGTGCTGGGGCCACTCACAGGATGGTGGCTTCAGTCTGATAGTACACATTTAGGAGAGAGAATTTGGTGCATTTACAGCACTGCTGTAAAGATACCGGAGTGGTGGCCTTGTACCCTCCCAGCAAAATCAGGTGGCATTAAAACAGGGGAGGTTAATGGGCCCTCTCCCACCCCCCAGCTCTGGGTGGTGCAGCATCACCCAGAACAGAAAAACTGGGAAGCAAACCCAGCAAAGCTGTTCTGCAGCAGGTCACAACAGCTGGGTGGGAAGTGGGAAGTGGCAGCTCTGCAGGGAACACAGGGTAGGACACGGATACCGCAGGGCAGCGGTGGTTGTGACAGGCATCCTACACCTGGAACCACATCCTTACTGCTGAGGACATCTCTGCTGGATCCCCTCTGAGGAGCTGTGCCCTGGTGGGTGGCTTATCCTGGACACAGGCAGGGTATGGAATGGAGGTCCACCCCACACCTTCGGGAACAGGCAGGTTCAGTCACTGCTGGCCGACACGATGCTCACACTGGCCCCAGTTACGCAGCATCAAATCATTGCCTGAGCAGAAAAGGACCTTACATGGGCTCATGTGGAGACAAGGAAGTGCAGCACAACTACTTCAACCATTTCCAGCAACCAGCCCAGCTCTGGGGCCAGGGTCACCTTGACCATCCCCCTTCTGTCACAAAGATGTCACAAAATACACACTATCAACCTCCAAACCATCTTGCAACAAGAAAAAATCCCACAGATAATAATTCTGAAACAGGTTTGAAAACATGCAGTTCCCATGAGTAGCTGCTACAGCCTTACCTCTGAGCATCCTTCACCTGGGAGTGGTACTCAGCACCTCCCTGGGGTGCTGGGGGTCACCAGGGGCCTCACACAGCCTCGTGTCAGCTCTGGGGGCTTTTATTCCATTTGCCACGACTCATCCCTGAAGTTCATGCAACATTTCACAGCAACTTCGTAAATAACTCAATCTGCAACAGGCTCAAGTGACTCCTGCATGCACAGACATTACTGCTTTTTCCTCCTGCAGCACTGCTCAGCTGAACAAATAAATTTCCTTTCCCACGTAAAAACTCCCAGAAACAGAGTTTCAAAAGGAGGCCCAGATTTTATTTCTTTAAACACTAAGTAGTTTCTGAGAGCACTGATCAACCACAAGCGTATTTTACTTAAAGCAAAAGACAATAAAATCAAAGCTAGGAATATCTGAAGGAGAAAGCAGGTCATTATAGTAATCATGGGTTGATTTTGTAGAAGAACAGAAGTTTTTAGGTGGTAATGGTCCATCAAAACATCCCTTGGCCACTGCTGAGTGCTGGGCAGCAGCACAGGGCACACGTCCCATCTCCCTGCACTCATCCTGCTCCATAATGTTGCTCTCCTGAGAGTTTCCAGCCAAAGAGCACAGTGACTGGGAACTCTGAAAATCCCCTTTACCTCCATGTCCTCCAACACCCCAGGTTTTATTTACCCAAACATAAAAGGCATGGTTTAATGGTGAAGTTTTTTGTGTTTTATTGTGGTTGGCACCAGAAAAACGTTTGCTCTGTGGTATCTCCATACACACACACACCGTACACAACACTGTGGTAATACTGGTTTCTTGTGATTTTTTGTTTCAAATTATTCTAAGATTTTAAAAAATACATTCACACAACTACCTTATGTTTAAACACAATTATTTCCTTCTATTTCATCACTGTACCCAAAACCCTACATTAAAAAAAATAATCATCCAAGGCTGTGTATTTGTCACTTGAAGTGGGACCAAAAAAACCCCCAAAACTAGTTATCAGTTTGCAACATAATAAAACCTCTGGGCTTTACTTGATTTATATTTTAACCAAAATGAAAATATAAAGAGCTGGTGGCAATCAGTGTCTGTGATGGAGCTTGCATGGGGTTTGAACACCAGTATTGTGGTCCTATGGACATCCCTACACTCTGCAGGCTGCACTGGCCCAGCAGGAGGGTGCCTGAAGAAGGCACCCACAAAGCACAT